TATGTACAAGGGCAGTTCACCAAGTGTTTCACTTTTAGAGGAGGGTGTTCACCCCCCCAAACACCCCCCGCCCCCGGGGGGGGTTTGGGGGGAGTTGGAAGTCCACTCATCTTAAAGTGGCCAAGTTTGGACAACACTGGTTTAAACTGAAACTAGGACCCTGGGCAAAAGTGGTTGTGCTATTGCCTAATGATCTGATATCCAAATTCTACACCCATTATCTCAGCAAATCAGAAGAAAGCAGGGAGATTATGGCCTTTACATCTGATTCTGCCTCACCAGAGAGGTGGCTCCCCTTCCCCACAATTACCACTTGCCATCCCTTCCTCCATTCAAATGGAGAAATGCCAAGTAAGAGGTTGGCATCCAGAAAACTGTGTTTCTGAATGCTGAGAGGGTCAAAAGAGCATCAGTGGACCTTGGGAGAGGTGGTAGAAAGCTAGGCGGGGAATTTCTGACTGCTGCCTTCATCTGTGGGCCAGAGATTTCCCCCAATTGCTCATAAGGGGAAAGTGTTTAATCAGTACCATTGTTCGGCATTATGGAATGCTCCAATTTCTGACTAATCAGTGAAAAGCTTGAACAGGGGACTAATCAAGACTGAGAAAAGCTGGCTCCCATGTGATTAGGCTCTGAGGTTTTGTGATATTCTGTGGTGGCACCGGTCTGTGACATATGACTCTTCCTTAATCTTGAAACTTAGTAACAAGAGGTTTCTGTGGCTTTTCTTCAGAACAATTACAGGATATGGTTTGGCATTTTTTCTGGGACTGCTGGGAATGCTTTGTCTGGGGGGAGCAACTTTGAGAGCCAGTGGTCTGCATCACTCAATGGCATGCCCTTCTCTGCTCCTGACAGGGACCATGACAGGTTCCTGGCAGGCAACTGTGCTGAAGAGAACAAATGCGGCTGGTGGTTTAACAGGTGAGTTAATTGGCAACACCCCTTCTGAAGCCACATAAAGAGTAGGCAATCGAGACAGATCTCCCTCCTGGATGTCTGAATCTGGGGAGACTATGCGGGATTTTGTGTGCCACACTCAGATATACCTATTGCCAATCTAGAGAAAGACGAATGTGGTACAGAGATAGGCAGGGAAGTCCAGGCTTCATACTTCTCCACAGCTAGGAAGCTCACTGGGTGACCTGAGGTCAGGCACTCTTAGCCTAATTCATCCTTCAGGACTGGGGAGAGGATGAAAAGAGAGCCACCTGAAAATTCCTGGAGGGAAGGTGGACTATAAAAAGAGAGATTCACACAAATCAGTTTGTTGCACGCACCGGTGTTACCCCCATGTTTGCAGGAAGGGAGCATGAGAACCACCACCCCTTTCCATTGCTGATACGCTCAAATGCAAGCAGGTTTAGAAAAAAAGATTATCATCATTAACACAGTTATACGTGGCAAAAAGTGAACAAGGAGAATTGTAATGTGTGTGCAGTCAGAACAAAAATATTGCTTCTCTTCATGGGCAGAATTATGTAGTGATTTTATACAGTGGTGCTTAAAAATTTGTGAACCCTTTTGAATTATCAATATTTCTGCATAAATATGACCTAAAACATGATCAGTTCTCCACACAGGTCCTAAAACTAGATAAAGAGAACCCAATTAAACAAATGAGTCAAAAACATTATCCTTGTTCATTGATTTATTGAGGAAAAGAATCCAAAGCTACATATTTGTGTGTGGCAAAAGTATGTGAACCTTTGTTTTCAGTAACTGGAGTGCCCCTCCTTTGGGCAACTAAACAGTTCCAATAACTGTTGATCAGTCCTGCACATCGGCTTGGGAGGAATTTTAACCCATTCCTCCTTATAGAAGAGCTTCAACTCAAGGATGTTGTTCAACTTCCTCGCATGAACTGCCCACTTCAGGTCCTTCCACAACATTTCTATAGGATTAAGGTCAGGACTTTCACTTGGCCATTCCAAAACATTAACTTTCTTCTGCTTTAACCATTCTTTGGTCATACAACTTGCGTATTTTGGGTTGTTGCCTTGCTGCATGAGCCACTTTCTCTTGAACTTCAGTTCATGGAAAGACACCCTGACACTTTCCTGTAGAATTTGCTGGTACAACTCAGAAGATGTAGTTCCATCAATGATGGTAAGCCATCCTGGTCCAGAGGCAGCAAAGCAGGTCCAAACCATGATATTGCCACCACATTTTACAGATGGGATAAGGTTCTTATGCTAGAATGCAGTGTTTGCCTTTTGCCAAACGTAACGCTTTTCATTCAAGCCAAAAAGTTCTATTTTGGTCTCATCTGTCCACAGAAAATTCTTCCAATAGCTTTCTGGCTTATCTATGTGGTTTTTTGCAAACTGTAGATGGGCAGCAATGTTCTTTTTGGAGAGTAGTGACTTTCTCCTTGTGACCCTGTCACGCACACCATTGTTGTCCAGTTCTCCTGACGGTGGTCTCATGAACACTGACATTCGCCAATGCAAGAGAGGCCTTTAATTCCTTAGATGTTACCCTGGGGTTCTTGGAGACCTCCTGAAGTATTACACACCTTACTCTTGGTGTTATCTTGATTGGTCAACCACTCCTGGGGAGGGTAACAGTGGTGTTGAATTGCTTCTATTTCTACACAATCTGCCTGGCAGTCGACTGGTGGAGTCCAAACTCTTTGGAAATAGTTTTGTAACCTTTTCCAGCCTGGTGAGCATCAATAACTGTCTTTTGGAAGTCCTCAGAAACCTCTTTTGTTTGAGCCATGACACACTTCCACATGCCTGTATTGTGAAGATCAGACTATCAGTCAGTGCTCAGAATTCTGTTCTTCCACACAATGTTTTTGACTCATTTGTTTAATTGGGTTCTCTTTATCTAGTTTTAGGACTTGTGTGGAGAACAAATCACATTTTCAGTCATATTTATGCATAAATATTGAAAATTCAAAAAGGTTCATAAACCTTTAAGCACCACTGTATACTGTATGTTCCTTTCCCAATCTTGCAGTCCCTAATCCATCCTTTCTTCCCATCTATCTTCCCATCCTTTCTTCCCATCTATCTTCCATTTAAAACAAAAGGGTTACCATTTATTGAAGGGCCCCAAATGGAAATAGCATGAATTCAAGAAAATGCAGTATCAGGCAGCAAATACAGTATCAGGCAAGTCAAGTGGCAGCATAAAGCAGCTCGTGCAGTTTTATTATAAAGTTATCAGTTTTATGCAACTAGCTAAACTAATTTTTCATATTAAACAAAATATGTATGCACATCTTTCCTGATGTGGTGCCCTCCAGCTATGTTGGAGCACAACTCCCAGAAATCTCTGTTCTGCTCCAGCGCAGTTGGAGGTCATCTGGCTGAATGAGATTTCCAATACCAATCGATTGTAATGTAATATCTGATGATAATTAAGTTTTATATCATTTTATCTAGTTACATGCATCTGGGCCATTCCCTGACCTTTCATTAACATCTTTTTCTAATTTTTTTTCATCATTTCCATAAGATGCCATGCAGCAAATCTCAATGGACTATACTACAAGAAGGGGACATATACCGGTCCCTTTGATAATGGAGTGGTTTGGTCAACGTGGCGAGGCTTGTGGTATTCCCTGAAATATACAGCTATGAAAATCAGGTTCCAGTCCTTTCTGGATGGAGAGAGTGGAAATGGTGAAATCAACTGAGATGTTTACAGGCACATCTGAGAAAGACAAGCAGGCATGCCAAAATTACTGTATATGTGGTCCTTGGCTTAAGATAGCACATTGAAAAAAATCTTACAGAAAGAAGCATTGTCCATGTTAGATTTTGCTTTGGATTTCCAGTCATATTAGTCCTGTATTATACCAGTTGACTAGTAAAAAATGGCTTTTCATTACAGAACCTCCCCTTAAAAATAGACAGGGGAAAAAAAACTCTTTTCTTTGTTGAAGGCACGAAGGACAATCCCGCTTATTATCTACCTTTCCTTTAAAAAAGCATATCCAATTGTTGAATACAGCTTTGCATAAGCTGATACTTTAAAATTTGCTTTCAATATTCATTTTGTTCCCCCTCTTCAAAAAATTAACCACCTTTCAGGGAAATGAAGAGAAAGAAAATGTTGTGAGCCATTGGGAAGAAAGAGCTTTATGGTTCATAAAGAGAGAATGAGATCAGTCTTTGTTTAGAGCAGTGTTGTCCAAACTTGGCCACTTTGAGTGGACTTCAACTCCCAGAATTGCCCAGCCAGCCATG